TTATTACAGTCACTGAGAGTTCCTTTCTTTGGTATCTTCACTAACTATAACCCCATTGGTCCACGCATCTGGCACTTTTTCCCCTGATGTAAATAGAGGGGCCAGGATAGATGCTGCTAATTTAGGATTTACCTTGAACAATTCTGCATTCAAGTTATCCTTGCCAGGAGCTTTCCCATTTTTAAAGGATTTGATGGCTTGAACGATCTCTTCCTTAGTTGGGGTGTCTGTGTTCAGATCAAGCTCTTCTTCTGCCTCCTGGATGTTTGCTCCCTCTTCAGGTAGCTCCCTGTTCAGCAGTTCTTTGAAAGTATTTGCCCAGCGCATTTCTTGTTCTTTTTTGCTTGTTAGTAGGTGTCCTTGTTTGCTCCGGATGAGAGTGTTGGTTGGTGTTTGCCGTTTTGTAGGCATCATTTTGTAGATGGTTCCTTGTTCACCACGAGCAGCTGCACCCTCTGGTTGTGTTGCCAGATTATCAGATTATTTTCCCACCCTTATCTCCGGTAAAAAATGGGAGTGCCATGCCTGCCTGAGCCCCCTGTTCCTGTGCTCCCGGACAGAGGGGGCTGGGTGGGGATAGATTAGATTAGATAGAGGGGGTGGATGGGCATACAGGGCTGTGGTGTTTTTCTGCTCTGGGGGGCATAAAGGGGCTGGGGGCCCCTATCCACATAGCTGGATGGAGACCCCCCTGCCCCATCCCCTGAAGCAGCTGCTGACACCCCCGTCCTCCCTTTGTCACCCCCAGATTACACCCGGGGCAACATCATCCGGCTGGTCCTGGTGCTGACCCTGGCCTAGGCTGCCCATAGCTGGAGGAGGGGTGGACACTAGGTGAGGTGACCCCCGCCCCAAGAGCCTCTACCCACTACAGCCTGGGTGCCCCCAGGGTGTGTGGGGAAGTGCAGTGGGGTCACCGTGACCCCGAGTGATGTGTCGCCGCATCATCAGGATGGAGCCGGAAGGACCAGTGCAGCCAAACTCGTCTGAGCTGGCCCTGCTGACCGGCCCCCAGGGGTACGGATGGGCCCATCTCCGCGTGGGGCTGGGGGAGGGGCTGTTCCAGGGCCTCTGTCTGTGGGTGGCAGAAATGGCTAACAGCAGCAGGATGGGGAGCCCACTTCATGGGGTGCCCTAGGGGAGACCTCTGGGCCGTTCAAGGTGGCTGGGGCCGTCGGGACCCGGGGCGCCCTAGGGGAGAGTTGCTGTTTAATAAATTGTACATGCTCTGAACTCTGTGTAATGATCAGTGGGTCAGGGAAGCATCCGTTGCAAAGAGAGTGCCCCGGAGTGGGGACACCCTCGCTCCTGTCCTAAGTGACCACGACAAGACTGGGGGTCGAGCCCCCAGGGATCTGGGGCCCAGCCTTGCCGGAGTTACGAGGACTCTGCCGCACGGGAGGGAGGAAGGGGAACCCTCGAGGTCAGACAGGCCTTTGGGTAAAGGGAGTGGGAGCGAGGACTGAGATCCTTTCACTAGCCAATCTCATCAGGGTGGGTATAACCCAGGAAAGTTCCCCACAATAGTGGGACCATCCCCCCGCTTACACTAGGAGCGGGGTCAGCAGCCGTCCTTCCCGTCCGTCCGGAGAGTGAAATGAACCAGTTCCTCCCCCCACAGCCCGGCTGGTCTGGAAACAAGTGGCTCTGCTCCAGTGACTCCCGAAGAAGCGAGACTTGGAGCCGGTCTGACTCCGGCTGTTGGTCACGGTCGCTCAGCCCCCGTTTCAATAGACAGGCCGGGTTTGATTCCTTGTCCGTGGTTTTAACGTGAAAGCTTTGTCTTTGAACGGCTGCTGCTGGGGGTTTGCCCAGGAGCCGAGTAGAACCAGAGACTCGGTTTGAAACGAGCCCCGGCCCCCGGCCTGTGTAACGCTGGGGAGGGAGAGAGTTTCCAACCCCCCTGAGCCCTCTGGGCCTGTGAGACCCTCTGCAAAGAGCTGCAGGGTACGGAGTTTGGGGGGGCAGGCTGAAGGCGGGAGGAAGGGTTTAGAGGGGAGACGGGCTGAGATCACGGAGGGAGTGGGGACAGGAATTTGAGGGGAGACAGAAAGGGGGTGGGTGCTGGAGGGGTGACGGGTGTTTGAGGGGAGACAAGAGAGGGGGTGGAAGAGGAATGGGGATGAGTGGGATCGGGGGGATGGGCTTCCCCCTCACAGAGTCAGTGTCGGCGGATAGGGTGTGTGTGGAGGGATTTGTTTTCTGTCCAAAACTCCAGCTGAGGGAGAGCCAGGGATAGGCAATGCCCCCCAGTTTCCCCCATTGCCATGAGGCAGATTCACCCTGAAATCCTCACAAGGGGGGAATCCAGGCACCCCGCAACCATGGGGGGCAATTTCCATTGTCCCCTTTTCCCCATCACTGCCCTGGCCCCCTCAGTCCCTACTTCTCAGTCCCACACCCCAATGTCTCCCCACATTCTCCCACCTCTGTATTCTCCTGCCCCCCACACTTCATCCCCCCACAGCCCAGGTAGCCACTATTTCCCATAGGGCAGCCTGGCACCAAGCCCACTGGGGACACTGGGAGATGGCGGCCATCTTAACTGAGTGTGGGGGGTGGGCATTTGAGGGGAAATAGGGCAGGGGACAGGGGTGTGAGGAGGGATGGGCCATGGTGGGGTGAGGGTGTGAAGGGGGTAGGTTCGGGGGGATTCGAAGAGGGATAGGCCAGGGGGTAGGATGGGATATGGGGGTCAGGATGGGGTGACTCTGCTAGGCAGCGAATCTGCTGCTCATCCCCCTCCTGCTCTGTGGGGCTGAGAGCAGCTATGGGGGGAGGCTCCTGAGCTGTTGGGGGGCAGCTGGTGACCAGGGGGGTCGGGAATTTAAGAAGCCCATTGGGACCAACAGGCCGGGCTCCTGAACAGTCTTCTAACTCTGCCCCCTAGTCATTTGATAATGGATGGGCGATGGTGCGACCATCAAACCCGGGTCCTGTCTCCCAGCCCCCTGCCCTAACTACTAGACCCCACTCCCCTCCCAGAGTTGGAAACGGAGCCCCCTGACTCCCAGCTTTCTGCTGCTTTCTACCCAATGATGTATACACAAAACCTGTGTCATGTCCCTTTCTAGGGGCCTGGCCACATAACCACTGACAGTGTCTCCACCAGCTCGGGGGCAGGGTCTCTGCGGGGGCATTAAAAGGTCCCTGTGTCTCTCCCGGCTGGTGACCTGTTGTGGGGCCTGGTGTCACGGAGAGTGGGGGGACACAAGGCCCTGCACCCCCGGCTTCCTGAGATTCACCATGGCTGTCAGCCAGCCAATAAAGCAGGTGGTTTATTTAGATGACAGGAACACAGTCCAAGACAGGTCTTGCAGGCACAGACAACAGGACCCCCCCAATTAGGTGCATCTTGGGGTCCCAGGGCACCACAGCCCCATTGGGAGGTCAGAGCCTAGTCTGCCTCCCAGCCATTCTACCAGGCAGCTCTGAAACTCTCCCCTCAGTGACCCCTCCCACAGCCTTTGTTCAGTTTCCCGGGCCAAGGTGTCACCTGGCCTCTAACTCCTTCCTGGGTTCTCATGTTACATGCTCAGGTATTCTCCCTCAGCCAGTCTCCCATCCCCCAGTGCAGACCATCCTAGCCACACTCCCCTCTCAGCATTCACAGACCACAGTAAGAACAGTCCCAGTTCGTCACATCTCTCCCTGCTTCAAGACCGAACTGAGCGGGGTCAATTCAGCCAGTGACCTGGGGAAGTTCGAACCTACCCCCGTTCCCATGGATGCCCCAGCATCCCTCCCATTCCTGGGTAAGAATTACACCAGGCCCCTCCAGTTTCACGCCCCCCCTTAGGTCGGGGTTGCTTGATGGCATTCGTAGTTTGCCTGTGGGAAGGTTTATGCGGCCTGTGCTCTTTTCCCACCCCAATACCCCTGGGGTTCCAACTGGGCTGGGGTCTTCTCCCAGCATTCCAGTCTGGAGGTCTGTGATTCGGGCTCTCTTGATTTAGAGCCCCCCCCTTTTACCTTGGCCACCCTCTGGAAAGGCTCCTCTATGCTGGGCAAGGGCCCTAAAGCCGTTTTCCCCTTGTCCCAGGCCTTCCTCACCCCCTGACAGGGGTCACAGGATCCGCAGTACTGTCGGACAGTAACAAAGACCCCAGGCCAGTAAAAGCTCCGTAGCAGCCTCTGCTGGGTACGCCAGGTTCCCTGGTGCCCTGAGAGAGGAATGTCATGGGCCCGGCACAGCAGCTGGCGGCGATACTTCTGGGGTACCACCAGCTGCCTCCTGAACCCCCTGACTCCATTTTCCCTGGGGGAGCCCATTCTCGGTACAGGAACCCCTTCTCCCACAGCAACCTTTTCCAGCAACCTCTCCCCATGGTCTGTACCGCTCTGAGGTCGGCCAGGTCCCTTGTCTTCCGCAAGGAGGGATCTCTCTGCAGCTCGGCCTGGAACTCAGCAGCTCGGACAGGGATGGCCACCTGCTCTCTCTCGCCGGCTGGGTCTGAAGCTGCAGCATCCCTGAGCCATGTCCCTGGGTGTTCCCTCCCTACCAGGTTAGGGTCCTGTGCCTCAGGCAAGGTACCCTCCCCGTTGTCAGGGCGCAGTGCCCCTCGCCGGCTCTCGCTACTGGTCACAACCAGAGCACCCTGGGGTTTGCTTGGCCAGACCTCCAGGTCCCCCCTCATCAACAACTCAGTGGGCAAATACGGGTGTACCCCCACGTCCTTGGGGCCCTCCTTGGCCCCCCACTTCAGGTGTACCCTCATCACGGGCACTTTGACTGGGGTCCCGCCCACCCTCGTCAGGGTCAGGTAGGTGTTGGGCACCACCTGATCTGGGGCCACCACCTCGGGCCGGGCCAGCGTCACCTCTGCGCCCATATCCCAGTATCCATTGACCTTCCTTCCATCCACCTCCAGGGGAACAAGGTACTATTTCCGGACGGACAGCCCTGCGCCTACCCTGTAAACCAAAAACCCTGAGTCTTCGGTGGTGGGACCTTCACTCGCTCCGGGTGTCTTCGGCGGCACTGAAGCTTCATCGCCGAAATGCCATCGAAGACCCGGAGCGGTGATGAGGCGGAGTGCGGCTGGGACTCGAGCTGGAGCAGTCTGGAGCCAAGTGTGGTGAGCAGCTGGGCAGAGCAATGGGGGACCCTGGGCAGCGAGGGGCCAGCTCAGGGAAATGCTCCCAGCCAAGAGGCCCTGCAGGCCGGACTCAGAGCGGGATTATAACCCCGAGAGGTGGTGTGATGAAGTGGGGGATTTTCTTGTTGTTTCCTTGTTTTTCCAATGCTTTGCAGTGGTGAATACGGTGGCTCCAGGGTGCTACTTTCAGGTACAGATTGTCACACTGTGGTATCACCGCAGCGTGCCCTGGGCCTGGGCAGGAGGCCTGGAACATGTGAGAAACAGACTGTGAACTTCCTTTCCCGAGCAGAGGCGGCTGTCTGTGGTGTCCCCGTGCCCACAGGGCGGGTGACCTGTTTCCTTTAACCTTCCCCATCTTTTCCTTATTTTTTTATGAGTTGCTGTTTAATAAATTATACGTGCTCTGAACTCTATGTAATGATCAATGGGTCAGGGAAGCATCCGGTGCAGAGAGTGCCCCAGAATGGGGACACCCTCGCCCCTGTCCTAAGTGACCACAACAAGACTGGGGGTCGAGCCCCCAGGGATCCAGGTGTGATGAACTGGGACTGTTCTTAATGTGGTCTTTGAATGCTGAGTGGGGAGGTTGGCTGGGAAGGCAGGGGAGGTTGGCTAGGACGGTCTGCATGGGGGGATGGGAGACTGGCCGAGGGAGAATACCTGAGCTTGTAACATGACAACCCAGGAAGGGGTTAGAGGCCAGGTGACACCTTTGCCGGGAAAACTGAACAAAGGCTGTGCGAGGGGTCGCTGGAGGGGGAGTTTCAGAGCTGGCTGGTAGAATGGCTGGGAGGCAGACGGGGCTCTGACCCCCCCAAGGGGCTGTGGTGCCCTGGGACCCCAAGGTGCACCTAATTGGGGGGGATCCTGTTGTCTGTGCCTGCAAGACCTGTCTTGGACTGTGTTCCTGTCATCTAAATAAACCTTCTGCTTAACTGGCTGGCTGAGAGTCATGGTGAATCGCAGGAAGCAGGGGGTGCAGGGCCTTGTGTCCCCCCCCCACTCCGTGACACCCGGGCCCAGCCTTGCTGGGCTTATGAGGACTCTGCTGCATGGGAGGGAGGAAGGGGAGGCCTTGAGGTCAGGCAGGTCTCTGGGTAAAGGGAGTGGGAGTGAGGACTCCGATTCTTTCACTAGCCAATCCCACCGGGGCAGCTATAAGCCAGGAAAGTTCCCCATAATAGCGGGACCATTCCCCCGATTACACTAGGAGTGGGGTCAGTGGCCGCCCTGGCCATCCTGGGGTACCTCTGGCTGGCTGGGGGGCGGGGGGCGAGCCAATGGCATGGGGGCAGATTCATCCTGAAATGCTCACAAGGGGGGAACCCAGGTGCCCCCCAACTTACATTGTCCCCTCTTCCCTGCCACTGCCCTGCCCCCCATAGCTCCTACCCCTCACCCCCCCAATATTCCCCCACACTCTCCCACCCCCGTATTCCCCTGCACCCCACATTGTCCCCCCAAACCAGGTACGTGCCATTTCCCAGAGGGCAGCCTCGCACCAAGCCCATTGTGGACACTGGGAGATGGCGGCCATCTTAACTGAGGGTGGGGGATGGGCATTTGAGGGGAAACAGGGCCAGGTCAGTGATGTGAGGAGGGAGGTGCCATGGTGCGGGGAGGGTGTGCGGGGGGCAGGCTCGGGGTCGAATTCGAAGGGGCATAGGCCTGAGGGCAGGGTGGGAGATGGGGGCAGGCTGGGGTGGGGGGGGTTAGTTGTGGGTGACAGGCTGGGGGGTGACTCTTCTATGCAGCAAATCTGCTGCTCGCCCCCCTCCTGCTTCGCGGACCAGAGAGCAGCTATGGGGGGAGGTTCCCAAGCAGTTTGGGGGTTCCAGATGAGCAGGGAGCTGCAGGATTCACCAAGGCTATTGGGACCATCCGGCCGGGTGGCTGAAGGACATTTAACGGTGCCACCGAGTCGTGGTGCTCCCGGCGTTACCCAGCGCTGGGTGAGAATGGACGGGCGACGGCGCAACCATCACACCCGGGTCCTGGCAACCAGCCCCCTGCTCTAACCATTAGACCCCGGTGCAGGGAATAGAGACCCTGACCCCCAGCTTTCTGCTGCCCTCTAGACAATGGCTGTATGAAAAAGCCTGTGTCACCTCCCTCTCTAGGGGCCTGCAAGGATGTTAGAAGGTCCCTGGGTCTCTACTGGCTGGTGACTCATTGAGGGCCCGGGATGGAATTTCTCTTTCTCTGATTTTCTTTTGAACCTGGTTGATTTAATTCACACGCTGAGAAAAGCACCTTAGAACCATGCGTTAGTGTAAACCCATCATTACAGATCAGCTATGGCGCAAGGGGCAGGAAACCCGGGCGTCCTCCATTTCAGGTGCTCCTCACACAGTGCCATGGCTCGTGTTGCATGTGGACAGGTTTGCAGGCTGAGTGGGGAAGGCTGCAGAATCAAACCCTCCAGCACCAGGAAATGCCACAGTTAAGGTTTCCCAAACTGAGTTACTTATTTGGGGCTCACTGGAGCTGGTCTTCGGGGCGTTGGTGTCAGCGCTCAGGGCCCCGTCATGACATCTACTCTCACTGTCCTCTTCCTCAGTGAGTATCAGAGAAAAAGAGGGCAGGTACCCATGGAGGTGAGGGGATCTGAGACAAAGGCATGTGCCATGGAGGGGGATCTGAGACCAGAACATGTGGCCATGGGGGCGGGTAGGGTTTGCAAAGCCATCTGCTTACTTTGACGGCAGTAGATTTCACCTGCAGATTAGAGACAATGTGTGATCGACGCAGGAAGAGACAAGACATCGTCAACTTCCCGTAGCTGGAGCCACCAGCTTAGTTCCTTATTTGGGGCTCGGTGGAGCTGGACACTGGGTGTTGGTGGCAGCACTGAGGGGCCCCTCGCGGCCACTGTCATGGCATCTGCTCTCACCGTCCTCCTCCTCGGTGAGTATCAGAGAAAGCTAGGGTGTGTGCCCATGGGGGGATATTATACCAGGGCGTGTGCCTGTGGGGAGAGGGATCTGAGACGAGGGCATGTGCCCATGCAGGTGGAGTCTGAAATCAGGGCATGTGCCCATGGGGGATGTGAGACCATGGCGTGTGCCCATGGGGGGGGAGGAATCTGAGAGCAGGGCATGTGCCCATGGTGGGGGGTGGTCTGGCACCAGGGTGTAGGATCCAGTTGCTCTGGGAAATGGTCACTAACCAGCCGTCTCCTCTCCAGGCTGCTGGCTGGCCGGGAACAGCGGGTTGTGGAGAGGTGAGTATCAGTCTGTGGGGAGGATGGTAACATCAAGGAAGGGGGAGGGGATATATGGTGTGGGGAAATGAGGAACTGAGCCCTGAACCTTCCCCAAAACTCAACCCCCTGTGAGCTCAGACCCAGCCCCATTCTTTTGTGCCATTGCCCCCCCGTTCCATGGAGTAACTAGGAGCTGAATCTGGCTCCCAGCGTTGAAGCAGCTGGGAACCGTTCCCTGGTTCAATGTCCTGCCCCCACAGGTTGTGAGTAACGGGGCGGGGGGAGTCGTCATGTGGATTTATTTCAGCTCATACAAACGCAAACAGCACCTGTCCGTGGGCTCTAGATCCCCTCGGTGTAACCGAAACGTTCACGGTCAGTGCCGCCATGGGCAGAACCCCCCAGATCCAGCCCCAGAGCCATCCCCCAAAGCTCCCTCCCCTGCACTCACAGCCCCCCGTTCCCAAGGGTGGGTCTTGTGCAATGCCCGCGGGTTACAAACTCTATTTCCCACCCCGGGGTCAGGGACAGAGCTGCAGGGGGGCACTGGTCAGGCTCCCTGGCTGGCCTCAGGTGGGGCCGTAGGGGGGAGGCAGGTGATCTCTCATGCAGCCGGGTCCTGAGCTACATCTGGGTGAACCCCCTGCCCCCAAGCCCCATGGGCAGCAGTGTCAGCCCCAGTAGGGGACAGACTCCTAGAGAGGCTGAATGACGGATGGACTGAATTGGGGCGGGGAGGTGGGGGCTGTGTCTCCCCTGTTTAACTCCTGTCTCTTGTTGAAAGCACGGCGTGAATTTCTCAAACCCACCGTCTCGGTGACCCCCGGCAGGGTGGTGGCGCTCGGGGGAAGCGTCACCATCCGCTGTGAGAGTCGGCAACGATCCATGGAGTTCTTTCTGCGTAAAGCTGGACACCCGAACCCGCAGGCGCAGTCGGTGCCTGATGGGACCGTGGCTGAATTTCCCATCCCCAGTGTCGGTCGGGAAGATGGAGGGAGCTACACCTGCGACTATCGCTCCATAGCAGATCAGAGTCGCTGGTCAGATCCCAGCGACCCCGTCGAGATCATTGTAGCAGGTGCGGGGCCCGGCTCCCAGCCCCACACCCAGCTGGACACTCAGGGGGCCTCTGCACCAATGGGACGCTCAGAGCCAGGCTCTGCCCTGAGCCCTGGGCCCAGCAGAGGGGACGCCCAGCCGGGCACTGGGGACGGAGTCACTGGGGGGTTCCCAGCCAGTGGGGAGAAGCAGCCACTGGAGATCTGGGGCAGAGGAAGGGGGGATCCCTGCCCCCAGGGGGAGCTGCAGAGCAGGGGGCCTTTCCCAGACAAAACATCAGTTAGGGGGTGATGGGCGGAGCTGAAGGTTATAAACCTCATTGTATAGTAGAGACTTGCACAGTCCCCTACAAGTCAGTGGTGGTCCTGTGCACAGAACCCAGGAGTCCTGGCCCCCATCCTCCCTGCTCACCCCACTAGACCCCACTTCCCTCCTAGAGCCAGGGAAAGAACCCAGGAGTCCTAGCTCCCAGCCCTCCCAACAGAGAAGCCATGGAGTGAATGGACCCTGGAGTCTGGACTGGCCTGTCACCCGCTAGGGAGCAGAGCTCTGGGCCCCCAGGGGCTGGGGTTGCTCCGTGTCTCATGCTGTTAGCCCAGGGCTCAGAGGAAACTCTGGCCCCTATGGAAAGGCATCCAGGAGCCTGTCCCCAGGGCCCCGGGTAAGACCCGCCACTGAGGCCGCGTGGTGAGGACGGGCCTCAGGACTGAGTGACGGGGCCTGTGTCTCACGGCCTGTCTGCTTCCCACTGCAGAGCCCAGCTACCCCAAACCCAACATCTACCTGCTGAGACCCAGCGGGGGGGTTTCCCTGGGGGGAGCCATGGCCATCCTGTGTCAGGGGCAGCACCGGGGCGTGCGGTTCGTCTTGAATAAAGAGCGACGCCATTTCCCATCTGTGGATTCGGACGGATTTGAGGCTGTGTTTCCCATCAGCAACGTGCGCCAGGAGCAGAGCGGGAGCTACAGCTGCTCCTATCACAGCCGATCGGAGCCGTTCGCCGTGTCGTACCCCAGCGACCCCGTGGAGCTGGTGCTGAGAGGTGAGGGGTCCGGTTCGGCATCCCCGTTCCCAGCCCCATTCCCAGCCAGTCCGTCACAGGGGCTCGGTGCCAATGGGACGCTCAGAGCCAGGCTCTGCCCTGAGCCCTGACCCCGCCGAGGAGACTCCCAGCCGGGGAACGGAGATGGAGTCCCTGGGGGGTTCCCCAGCCAGGGGGGAGCAGCAGCCCCTGGAGACTCGGGGCAGGGAGGCGACTTTAACGCTGCCCCTTGTGCGTAGGAACCGTGAGTCGCTATTTAATCCTGTGATCCCATCGCCTCTGTTCTCCAGGCCCTGCCCCGGCTGGGGAAGAATGAGGCAGGGGATGCAGGAGAAGCAGTGGCTTGGTGGACACAGCGCTGGGCTGGGACCAACGAGATCTGGCCCAGCTCCTGGCGTGGCCACAGACTCTGTGTGTTGGGAGCACGTAGCGGTTTCCAAAATTGTCCTTGGTTGTGGGGGAGCCTCAGTCTTGAGGGATCTCAGGCCGAGCGCCCACAAACCGAGACACCCACAGTTAGTGGAGACCTCTGTAAATGCTGACCTCAATAGTGCTGGATCCCTTGTGTTGGGGGAGCATGTAAGGCCCCCGCCATGATCGAGGCTCCTCTGTGCCAGGCGCTGCATAAACACAGAGTGAAGAGACAGTCCTGGCCCCTGGGAGCTCACTAAGGAAAGTGAATCTGTCTGTGCCTCAGTTTCCCCGATGTAGAATGGTGATAAAGATGCCTCACTGCCTCCCGGAGGTCTGACTCCCTTTGTGTGTGGGGCTCAGGCCATGCGGTGCCGGAGACCAGCCTGTGAGTCACTCTGTGCTCGGGGGGGCCAGATGCAGTAAATGAGGCAGGGGCCACACACGGCATATGAGTGTAACCCTTCTGCCAGGCCAAGTTGATAGCAGCAAGGGCCGGGTTCAGTACATAGGGGTCCCTTCCCAACAGCGTGACACAGAACCAGCTCGAGCCCCCACCCAGTGACCTGGGAAAATCTTACACACATCCCTGGGCGCCTCAAAGAGGCAATATTTCCCCTCTCGCAAGCACAGAGCCTCGGTGTAGCAGAAAATGTTTAATAACATGAGGTAAACGACATAGCATTAAATTGGGAAAACACCACAACTAGAGTTCATAGACCAAACCATGAGCGAAGACCCACCCCAGCAAATTAGGCCGTGTCCTCTCCCGTTGGTTCTTGAAACCAGCGACCCAAGAATCACCAAAGTCCCAAAAGTCCACCGATCCCAAAGTCTCTTGGGTCCAGCAACCCAAGAATCACAAAAGTCCCAAAAGTCCGACAACCCCCCAAAGTCTCTGTCCCTGATCAGTGCAGCCCCAGAATTCAAAGGGGGGGGTGAGCAGGGTGTTAAGGGGCACCTTACGTGATCCAAGGCCAACCGGCTGCTTCTCCGTGGGGTTCCACCGCAGCCTTCACCACGAACTGCTCCACTCCACCCGCAGTCCCACTCCTGCCGTCCCACAAACTGCTCTGGCAGCTGCTCCGCTCACCGACCGGTGAGCCGCGCCGCTCCGCTCCAGCCGTCCCTTGGGCCGCTCCCACAAGGCTCTACTCTGCTCTGCTAGCTGCTCCTCCAGCCACTCCGCTCACTGACCTGTGAGCCGCTCCGCTCCGCTCGCCCCCCACTAAGCTAAGTCAGCTTTATAGCTTCAGGCTCCCCCACTAGTTAACACAGCCTCAGTGATCTCAGCTCTTAAATAGCTTTAGCTCTTTCATGATTTCAGCTCTTAGTACTGGTGGCCCAAACTGAACTCAGCTCAGCAGTCCTAAGGGAATCAAAGTTAGCTCTAACATTCAACAGTGGAAGAAGAAGGAGAAATAGATGCAATTGGTGTTTCAGACCCACACCACCAGGTACCAATGCTTGCCCCCAACCTCTCTCCATTCACTGGGTTTTGTAACCCATGCCCCTTGACAAGCAAATGCTACTTAGG